TCGCGATTTCATCTGTCTCCACGAGAAGGCGACATAGTTTCCGAATAATAAAAACTAGGAAATTTCCGACGAATCAAAGAGTTCGAAAGAGGAGAGCGTAGGTGAAAAGAAAAAAAAAACGTATGCGAGGTCATTGGTCAATGTGGAGTGACGTTTATTTGAGCGAGGCTTCAGTTTGATGCTCAATTACGAGGAGATATGTATCGCTTAAGATTGAAAAGCCACTCGCTCGCGATAAGCCGTGAATTTTATGCGAGAAAATGTCTAGAGCCGTTTCTCAATGACGAGGCCTTCGGCGACCCGGGATCAAAGTTTCGAGCTGTCGATTATCATGGAATCTCGCCTTCGAATGGTCTAAGATTTCGTCATTAAAGAAGTGACGTGTAGAAGTGGGACGTTTGGTACGTGTATATAGCGGCGATTACGTATGAGACGCGGACGGCGGCCTTCGGGAAAGTTCCTTCCCGAACAACTTTGAACTTTTCATCCGGTAGACGGACACAGAGTCGGATAGAGTTGACGGCCATTCCTCTCTTGTTTTCGTCGCGAATAAGAACCGATGGCGCATCGCTGATTCAATAACAACCGCCTGCGCCCAAAAAAGAAAACGCACCGAGCGATCGATCGAGGAAGAATGCCACATTTTCACCTCGATCATCCGATTAAAACACATCCGACCTGCAACAGGGAAAAATTTCTCTGTTGGGAGATATCAAAAGCAAATTTTTCCCATGAATAGAGATGAGTTGCAAGACTCTCATTGCGGAAATTAAGTGTGCCGCAGTGTACGAACGCGTTGAATAATCGAGGATAATCGCGGTCTGGGAAAACCTCGGCACATCATTTGTCCTCATCGCAGATGACCCCGGGAGAATCCGCGCACCGTTCTACTTGTTTCATCGAATTTTCCTGCTGCTCATAAATTTCCGGAATGTTCCCAAAGCGTCGTGCCGGCGTGCATTGTTCGCCGGCGAACGTTAGTCACCGCGCGTATTTGCGAAACAAACATTTACGAAACAAAAATGCATCGATCTTCATTCAATGCCGTTCAACGCGCTGAGAATGCCGTGATTGTTACCGGTAATCCGCACTACGACACTACGCGCCTCATCAACTTAACGAATCGTAATAATAATTAATAAAACATACCAAGTGCATCCAAAGAATCGGTCGACGACCAACGCGCAAGGTCAGTCGAGGAGGCGAGGAGTGAGAATTGAATTTGTTTGTCAGATACTGGACGAATCCGAGTTATATATATATATATTGTCCAAATAAATTCGATTGAGATCGACAGATCTCAAAGAAGAGAGGGGGCGGACGAGGAAACAATAGCGCGTTATTTGTCGCGCGTGTACAATGGTGGGCTTTAATTCCGAGCGAGCGCGACACTCATCGCGTTATCTGCCGCGATAGGAACGTTTCGGGATCATGGTCGGCCAGTCAACGTTGAGATGGCCGGAAAATTACTAAAAAAAAATATGATCGTAGGGAATAAAGGAAGCAGATAACTCACACATCGACTTGTATTCGTGAGGAAGATCGGCATTCTTTTCATCATTGGATTCGGTGAAAGTTTATTAGCGCGCGCTCGAGAGTACGGCCGAACGACAGCCGGGCGTGTTGCAGGAAGGATTCTTAATCTTTAGAGGGCCGAAAAACCACTATAGTGGTGGTAGACAACAGTTGGTTGCATTCATGTTCAACATTCGTCTACTTATGTGTGTATAGATATTCACATATCCAGATATCCAGATACCAAGTTTGTACCGTCGCGAATAAGAACCGATGGCGCATCGCTGATTCAATAACAATCGCGTCGCCCAACCGCCTGCGCCCAAAAAAGAAAACGCACCGAGCGATCGATCGAGGAAGAATGCCACATTTTCACCTCGATCATCCGATTAAAACACATCCGATCTGCAACAGGGAAAAATTTCTCTGTTGGGAGATATCAAAAGCAAATTTTTCCCATGAACCTCTCCCCTTCCCCACCCCTCTCCCCTTCCCCCTATTTGCAATTTTTTTTTCTTCATAAACGCAAGTTAGCGGAAATATATAAATAAATAATTACGTGCTCACACATACACGCATACACTATACACTCTCTACGTCCACGTCGTTGGCTCTGGATAACGCTAAAGGAGAACATTGTCATCATATTAGAGAACATTTCTCGGAATTTTTTGCGCGATTATAACTATAAATTCTCGTAATTTACAAAAACTGACAGATTTTATTCAGCGACCTCGAAAACCTCTAGAAATCTGTTTTTTTTTCAAATTTGAAAATTTTAACATTGTCTTTACCCCCCAGAGGGGCCGGGACCACCACCACTTAAGTGGTGGTCTCCGTGATCAGTACTTTGTATACGATGAATATACGATATAAAGTACATTTTTTATCGATTTTCTTCGGGGAATCTTGTATCTCAAATGTTAATTGCGTTCCGCCGCCTGGCTGCCATTTGTATATTATCATCGCCAGTCCGTCGTGGAACGGTGACACGAGAAATGCGCGAACGCCTGCGGGAGATAAACACGTTGGGAGGAACACGTACGCACGCGCGTTTTATTCCCCGCCGGATCCCGCTCGCGATCCGTAATGTATTCGCAAAAATCCAGAAGCCGCGAGAACTCTGTTTACTCAGCGCTGAGCGTGAGCGTGCGCTAATTGCGCTGCTTCTTGCCTCGTTGCCTTTCATCGGCGTCTACTCAATGCGAATCAAAGATCGCTGTCGTCGCGTCGTGTTCCACGAATCGCGCGGTCTCCACGCTGATTATGTAATTTTCTGGCAAATTGCACGGCGATTTGTTGCTTCCTTCCGCACAATTTGGTGGGGACCAAATACCGGGCGGGCAGCGCGACTCGCAAAGGCTCCGCACGAGTTTTTTTTCCCGCGCCTGCGAGCAAATTTATGCTCCACCCGGACAACAATTGCAAATGTTAGCTCCTTTCGTGTTGGATCACAGTTACAGGAAATTATAGGGAAAAAAAAAACAGCAGGGAATAGAGTTGCCAACTGCCCGGTTTTGATCTGCCGGTCCATCATTCCATATATATTAGAGATATGCGAACTATTCGAATTCGAATCGAATCGAATCTAATGTAATTCGATTCGATTCGAATCTGAATCCCTATGATTCGAATCCGAATAATTCGAAAATTTCGAATCGAAGATTCAATTACGAATCAAATATATTAGCGTGCATTATATTTGCATGCATCAAGTACAAAACGAGACATCTGGGCCTGTACGTTTGAACCCTTAACTTGTAATTAACTTAATTTATAATTAATAACTTAATTATAAATTACTTTAAATATTTAAATATATATTTTACTTTAAGATGATATTACAATATCAATATCCCCTTTCATATTAAAACCTTCCATCATTATGTGTATGTTTAATAGTCATGTTAAATTTTTTAATGATTCGATTCGATTCGAATTCGAATTAAAAAAATGAGATTCGATTCGATTCGATTCGACATAAAAATTCTTGATTCGCACATCTCTAATATATATATATATATATATATTTATATATTTATATTAAAAAAGTAATAGTTTATTATTTTATTCAATCAAATTTTATTTATAAAATTGTTTGGAAATTGATATTGTAAATAAATTCTTGTCATATTTTGTATTTAATGTAACGTTATGATTATTATTTCTGTCCGGTTTAGTCCGGTTTGGCTTTGTTACCAAGGAAGAAATGTCCGGTAATTTTAACTTTTGGATTTGGCAGCCTTAGCAAGGAATCGTGTATAATGAGCGACAATGAAATATCACAATGTAACTCGATAGCGCGTCTCAAGTCGGCGCGCTATCAAATACCAAAGTGAGATCAACTGCCGGTACTGCCGAAAATGGCGCAATCTTGCGCCCGGGAATTTTGTTATGTCGCGCGTGATGTCGATGATAGAGTGTATCGTTATCGACGAGCGAGATAACGGTCATCCCCGAAGCGTCCAGCGTATACTACAGGTACACCGCGCGACACTACCGGCTTTAGTATCGCGCAGACCGTGGTAGTGGATCTCGAAGGGATCATGCGAGGATAGAGACACGGGAATGCCGCGGCGCTCTTCAGGCTCTCGAGCTCGACGAAGAGGCGCGCAAGATCGCCCGACGACGTCCGATCACCCTCGCTGGCGACTGAAACGCTCGGTCTCTCGGGGCACTGCTCCGTGAAAAAAAAACCGGACACAATAGAACAGATAAGTCGGCGAGAGATAATCAGAGAGAAGTCGTTGCCGTGAGGGACCGCGGTGTCCTGGGGAGGAGGGGGAGAGAAGCTCGAGCAAGCTGAGGAATAGAGATGGACAGGTAGGAGAGGAGGAAAGCGAAGTGAATCAGCAGACCGAACGCGCGCGCAGACTTTCACGAGCAAGAAGAACAAGACACAGAAGAGACTCCTCGTGGGGTGAGAAAGAACGTGCGAAAAGCGCCGAGGGGGGAGGTGCGCAGACGGGTTTGATTCTTCCGCGGGGCCGATTAGAGTCATTGATTAAATTTGTACGACACGTGTACCGAGCGTAAAGGCGAGAAAGAGAGACGGACTCTTAACCGGACAAACGGAAGAACGGTGGATGCTGCGGGAGGGAGGGATGGAAGATTGATAGAGTGCGGTCACGATTACGTCTTACTTGTGCAATTTGCTCGCGCCCGTACCGATTCACGGCGCCGTGAATAATTGCCGAAGGCCGCGCGACACGCGGACCGGACATGGCCGAGATAAGTTTGTAATGAGGCGAAGTGGCGAAAAGGGAGAGATAAGCTTGATAACGGGGGCGGGGCGGGGGATTTTTCAACGAGGCTACTCGCGAAGGAGCGCGGAAGGAAAGCGCTCTCGAGAAAGAGGAGGAGGGCTCTCCAGAAGAGAAGGACACGCGAAGCCAAGTCGGTGCGATAAGAGAGCGCAGAGTTCCCGGCGGCGGCGGCGGCGGCGGCGGCGGCGGCGAGTCGCGCGCGCGTTGCGAAAGGCTCGAGGGCTGAACATGAGAAATCAGCGCGAGCCAGTTCGGATAATCAGGACGACGAGTGTCTGTTAGCGGTCGACGCGGCGCGGCGCGGCGCGGTGCGGTGACGAGAGAAAGAAAAAATCGAGTCGTGTGACAATGAACGCGCGCTTGCAGGAAGAGACAAGGGACGAAGGAGAAGGAGGTGACAAAGAGTTGGGGACAATAGCCGGCGGCGGCAGAGGGGCAGGAGGGAACATGGCCCTCGGCGACGAACGTCAGCAGCAGGGTCGTTGCACCGATTCGCTCAATTGGATCGGCAAGGCGTCGGGTTACGCGGATTTCGCGGAGCCGCGACGGGGCCAGACGATCGGCTTGTCGCCGGAATCGTCGTACGCTTCCGCGACGCGGCCCGACGACGACACCCGCGTTTTGCCGGCTGACGTCGCCGCACCCTCTTCCAGCGTTACGTCACAGCTCGCCGGCGATAATGGCCCAGCGCCGCGTGCTCGCGATATCGAGACGCCCCGTTGGGCTCCGGCCAGGCTGCCGTTGTCCGCGAGCTGCAACCTGGCGTGCAATTTCGCGCCGGCAGCGTGCAACAACGTCGTCCCGCTGATGACGGAGCAAGCGTTGTTCCGCGACGTCGACGACGGCCAGTCGGCCGGCCCGCACCCGTCGGACACCTGCGCGTTCGCCTGGAGAAACTGCCCCCAGCTGCTGCCAGGACCCGTGGACGTCGAGGACCTCGCGATATACTTCGACCCATCGGCGGACAATGGCAAACCGCCGACGAGTGGCCGCGCGATTTACTCGAGGAGACCGAGATACGGCCAAGGTGCGGCCAGGATGCTGCTGGAACAGCCGCGCTCGCAGGAGCCGCGCTGCGAGCGGCTCGACGTGGCCTCGGCAAGCGATCTGATGGAGCCCTATTACAACTCCTCACGATTTTCTTACCCGGCGGAAGCCGGCGACCCGGCCTTCGACGCTCTGCCGCGACCTTGTGAAGTGGGGCCGAGCGACCCGACGCCGACGTCGACGTCGACGCCGACGCCGACGCCGCGGTCTTGTGCGCTTCAGCCGGACTTTTACGGCCAACAGACGACGACCTGCGAGCCGAGACTCGCCTGCGCCGCGGCGACGCGCGAGTTGGACATTCGCGAGCTCAACCGACGTAATCTGGAACACGACGGTGCTCCGGCGGCTCCGGCCGACGATTGGTCCTGCTACCATTGCCCGGAACTGTTCAATTTCTGCAGCGAGCAACGCTGGCTGCAGTGTCCGGCGAGCGATCGCTGCCCCCTTTACGACAACTCGTACGACCACGGCGCGCCCCTCTCGCCGCCGTGCTTGTATGAGAACCTGTACGAGGGCTACGACGGTAACGATAATTGGCGTTACGACTACGCCGAGGACGAGCAGCTTCTCGAGGATTATCTGTAAGTCCGTGTGGCTCGTGTCCCCACCGTTCCTTCTTTTTTCTCTTCTTCCCGTCCTCCCCGCCTCGGCACCCGCCCTGCGATAAATTATGCTCACTGTTCTCCGGCCTGACGGAATTTTTCCCTTCGCTTCACTCCACGGGTATCGAGGTAGCGCGTCCTTCGGTCAGGGAGTTCGGTCGGATTCAATCGACCTCGGGCACGGCTTTTTTACCAATTTCGAGGTGATAGCGGATGGATGGTGGGTGAAGGAGGGAAAGCGCGATCAGATCGATTTAGAAAGAAGTGCCGTTCAAAGATCGGCCCGTCTCGCCGATAACGGCTCATTCGTCGGCGATAACGTCGGCGTTTTCCGTCAGGCACGACCGAAAAAAACCGAAATGCACCTTCCGAGTCGAGTCGGCGACGATTGCATTCAGCGGGGCGATAATAATGTCCTCGAGTGGTCGGGGTCGAATGTCCTAAACCCCCGCCTGCTTAGTTTTGCGACTCTCCACGACGGCGGTTCGATGTTTTAGGCGTTAGGAGAAGAAAGCGCAGAAAGATTTGATGAAAAATCGAGTCTGGTTTGTGTGCAGTGAATGTTGCGGATTGTGCGAGAATTAATCACTCTCTCTCTCTCTCTCTCTCTCTCTCTCTCTCTCACACTCATTCACCGTGAAATGTAATGAATTACTCATAATTGTTCTGCTTATCACACACGTGCCATCCTCGTTCGCCGGCGAGCAGCTTTACAATTTCCGGGCGAGCCGCATCCGAATGCACGCGCATCGTGATGCATGATTGCCGCGTTTTTGCGTAATCGACGGCCTGATGCCGAGCCAGATTGGCAGCGACGACCTTCAACGAACAGGGAATGTTTATCGTGGCGAGATAGTGCATTCGACGTGACACTCGTCGCTCACGCGATATTTCAGGGCGTTTATTTGCGAAAAATAGCCTAAGCGATAGATAGTCGGAGGTCGAGAGAGAGAGAGAGAGAGAGAGAGAGAGAGAGAGAGAGAGAGAGAGAGAGAGAGAGAGAGTTCCCTCTCGTCCAATCACGTGTGAATCATTCGACGAGGAAGGTAGATGTAGGGCTCTCTGGGGAGGGTTTATATGTCTAACACACACACACGCGCACACCTTCGTGAAATTATTTCTCGTCCGGCTGGGCAAGATGGAGATCACGAGCGCCCACTCGGTCTTATTTCACCGCTAAACGTTCAACATGCTTGAGTTGGTTGCTTGACGAGGTTGCTCGCCCTCATTGTTGCAGGAGCAACGAGAAGAGGAAGGAGAGGTCTCGCGATGCAGCACGCTACAGACGCAGCAGAGAAACCGACATTTTCGCGGACCTCGCAGCCGTTCTTCCGGTTGCACCGCAACAGGCAGCGCATCTGGATAAAGCCAGCGTGATGAGATTGGCGATTGCCTATCTCAAAGTCCGGGCTGTTGTGGACTCCAGTGAGTACGCCACTTTGACTTTCTCCAACTTTTCTTCTTGAATTCTTTCGCTTACTTTCAACACGACGTATTGTCAACTTCCACGACACACACGTGTGTACAAAATAATTCTTGTATAAATATAGCTTACAAGTATATATTATCGATATCTCTTTCTCAAAATCGTTTGAATTTTTATGATTATCTAATAAAGAAAAATATCTCGTCTTACCTTCGATAAATTTAAAAACGACTTAGAATCAGATACTGTCGGATATCTTCGAGTGTGGCTTTTTTCTTCATTTTAATCTCTATATTTTTATAGACAGCTCAGATAAGACCATAGTAACGTTATGGCATTACGGAAAATGTTGCCCAATCGCGGATTCCCTTATCGCCTCACACTCGCTTCAAAGTACTTATAATGGATTGAAATGAAGTGTGTCAACTAATATATAAAGTATAAAGAGTGTCCCTCAACCGATGCTCATTAATCACAAATTTATTATTTCTCTCTACGATGTTTGATAAAGTCACTGTTAAGATTTAGTTTAGACTTCGTATAATTAACGTTTCCTTGAATACAACATCGTCACGACTAAATTGTTGGACTCTCGACCCAAGTTCCAGCTTCGGTGACAAAGTCCGAGTCATCCACGGAGATGGACGACCTATTTCCGAAAGCCCTCAACGGTTTCATGCTGGTACTGTCCAGTGACGGCAATATGGTCTACCTGTCGGAAAACGTCAGCGATTATCTCGGAGTGTCACAAGTACGTTCAATTAAATCAAACAATAACTGTTGTTCTTGGACAAAGACTGGATCGCGATAAAATTTAATTATTTGTTTAATTGATTCTGACATATCTTATCTCGTAAAATAATGACTTCGTATGTATAATTCTCGCAAAACGCAAAATAATGCGCAATAATGTAAAATAAATTCGTATAAAAAGTGTCCGAATTTTTCTCTTTTAATCCTTTTGCAAAGGATCTAAATTAGAAACGCACGTTAGCTTAAACGTTAGCTTTTTTTAAAGAATGCCACTGAAGACCTGCGAAACAAAGTGTGAAACGGCACATTCTTACCTCTACGCTTTGCGCTTTGCGTGTGCTTGCAGATGGACATGATGGGCCAAAGCGTCTACGAATACAGCCACCCCTGCGACCATGACGAATTACGCGAGTGCCTGTCCTCGAAGCTGTCGGAAAAGAACGGGAAACGTGTCTACAGCTTCTTCCTGCGGCTCAAGTGCACCCTCACCAGCAAGGGCAGGAAAGTCAACTTGAAGAGCGCGTCCTATAAGGTGTGTATAATATCTGCGACCGCATCAACACGGCCGCATACGCTATATATCCTTGCGATATCACACCGTGACACTCCACGGGATCTAGGAGCTGATCTTTGTAAAAATCACATCTAAGTGTGTAGTCCACATTTGACATGTTCCCGCAGGTGATACACTGCACCGGCAGATTAACGACTATCCGCGACTCGAACTCGAACTCCATGGAGGTCGATAACGAGGAGGGAGAGAAAGAGGACGAGGAAGCGGAACGCGAAGCCAATACTTCTCTGGTGCTCGTGGGTAATCCTATTCCTCACCCCAGCAACATCGAGATACCTCTGGGACGTCATACCTTTTTGTCGAAGCACAACCTCAGTATGAAGTTCACTTACGCCGACGAAAAGTAAGCGATACCGTAACTTACTTTCCTTCTTTCTTCTTTTTTGCCTCCTCTTCGATCACACAACTTTGAGCTGAATATCTTCGTCCCCGGCATAGACTTCTCGTATACGTAGACTGCGTCTGTTTATGAGATGTTTGAAGACAAGATATCAAGAACAGCTATATTTTTCTTTCGCTGCCCACAGGCACACTATTTTCGTCCATATTTCTCCAGTAGGAACTCAGCTGGGCAAAGATCGAATGCTCGTGGCAGAGGCTATTCTTTTCAGAGGCAGCTTTTAGAGAGGCGCACAGTCTGTGTATACAAATTCGTAGTCCCTGACAATTTGTTTCCCGATTATTTTCTTGAAACGCGACCAGTCGCCCCATCCTTTCCTTTCGCGGGCCGATGGCCGAAAATATAATTTTTCACTCGGTCGCCTGATCGATTATCCACGGTAGCATAATATTAGCGCCTGAGATTTAACAAGATTGATTAAATACCTTATCGGTTTTATCGTTATTTTGCGATAAATAATCCCTGCATTATCGTGCACGTGACTCAACAGCGATTTCCTTTTGACGCATTGCATTATAAATACACGTGGTGTATTTTGAAAACAATCAAAATAGATGCCTATTGGGAGCGTTTTGCGTATGTAAGATCACACACGTGTATGTCGTAACCACGAAAACACTTTGCTCTTGTCGCGATCAGATTGGCCGAGTATTTGGGCTGGGACAGCGAGGATCTGATGGGACGATCAGTCTTCGAGTTCTATCACGCGCTTGATAATCTGGCGCTGGACAAGTGCTTCAAATGTCGTAAGTACCAATTGACGTCACAATTTATTAATTGCACATTCGCACAACTCTGTTATCCCCTGCAATAATGCGCCCTTGTGGAATCCTCCAGAGAGTCATAATATCGTTATTTCGCACGGCAGAAATCACATGTTCGGAAATGGGTGAACGATAATGGTCGAGTGCGAGCGTTGAACGATTTAGGCGGAAGAAACAGCCTATTCGCACCGTTGTTTCCTCCGGCGATCCTTTCCGAGATATTACACGGAAGCAAGTTGTAGCCGATCGATCGTGGTGCTGACGGTGGTGGTGATAGCCGTCAAAGCAGAATGGCATAAAACCGTGGGGGTCGACCTGGGTGAACGACACGATCGGGCAAAAAGGTTTCAAGGACGATCGTAACTCTTATCGCGGTGCTACAGATGAGAAGACTTTTTACGACTTTCAGGGACCACAAGTGCGCGTAACGTTATCGACTACCGCTTATGCAACTGCGTCTCACGCCGGTATTTACGAGGAGGAGACTCACTCACGCACCGTGACGTTGACGCTTTTATCGCGCGCATTTGGTAATTGACTCGCAAAGCAGCACATAGATAATAGTAAGTGAAACATGGCGACGAAGCACGAGGCCGCGGGAAAAAAAAGGATCGGGCACATCGTGACATTGTCTTTCTGCGAAGAGAGAGAGAGAGAGAGAGAGAGAGAGAGAGAGAGAGAGAGAGAGAGAGAGAGAGAGAGAGAGAGAGAGAGAGGGGGGGGCGGGAAGTGGGGGGAAGAAATATCCTCAATAATATGCATCAGTGTCTCGCGAGATTATGTTGCAATTTTTACGACTGTCGTTGGATAATGAAATCAGTTAATAACTTTTATCTTTGACGTTAATCGTTAACCCAAAACACGTAATATCGACGACTCAAAAGCCACTCCCGGTATGAAGCGCCGCGCTGACGAGACAGGCGCTCGGTATTCATGATTGTGATTGTTGCGTAGCGAAGTGATCACATGGGCGAAGGGGCGAGGGGGAAAATACTTTTGCGGTATAAATATCCATGTAATGACAATGACAACAGCTTGATTGATCGGAACAGTATTATTGGCGGCGACTACAATTTTACCGAGGCTGCTAAACGCAGGTACGCACACGCACACACATACATGCATCCTGCAAGATACTCTCGTGATATCATCGTTGGCCGGTCGTTGGTCGCTGAAGGATGTACGATCAAGCCAAGGGACGGATTCGAAAAGCTCGAGGAGCTTCGCGCGTTGAATATCCGCGACATCGACGGTCCTCCCCTTAACGCCAATCCCGGCTCTCCGAGCCGAATCAGCTCGGCACTAATCCCGTCTCGGTTACGTTTTACGCGCGGGAGAATATATACGTTCCAAGCCCTGGCTAAGAACGGCAGATAATGTGCGTTTCCCGAACGGGCAGTTCTGAAATCCGCGCGTAGCGATCTCACGACATCGACGGGAACGACAGTCGGAACCGCCATAAAAGCCGGTTCATCCCTCTTTTCATGGCCTCTTCGGCCTCCTCTTGCGGGATTCGATATAGTTTCGTGACGTGCGACCAAATCTCCCGTCGATTCCACGGATAACGATTAACTTTGATATCTCGTATTCGCGCATTTCCGTACGCGTAATATGAATCGCTAGCAAATCCTGGCTAACGTTTCGCCGATTAAGCATCATAAATTTCCGACAGAGAGAGAGAGAGAGAGAGAGAGAGAGGGAGGGAGGGAGGGAGGGAGGGAGAAAAAGAATACACACAGAATATATCACTTTTTCACGACCGAGTGATTTGAATGATGACCCGCCGATTCGTTCACTCGTCACCCGAGACGTGCTCGGTCCCCGACGCTTTTCCTCCTCCTCCACCTCTCCTCGCCCTTCTGATGCAATCCTCGCGTTTGCAATCCCACATCGTGTCTTTCATCAGCCGGAAGGTGCGCGTGACGGGGGGAGGGGAGGGGGGGGCGGTCGCTTGCGCCGAGTCCTGCGACGACACCGCACTCCTTTCATCGCACTCTCGTCGTTCACACTTGCTCTTTCTCTCACTTGCTTCTCTCCGCTGTTGCAGTATTCAGCAAGGGCCAGTGCGAGACCGTGGCGTACAGATTCCTCGGCAAGCGGGGCGGCTACGCCTGGGTCGTCACTCAGGCCACCCTCATCCATTGCTCCAAGCAGCAGAAGCCGATCTCCGTCGTCTGCGTCAACTACATCCTAAGGTAGGATTATAATCAGCCGTGGTTCGTCCACGTTTTGCGCTGCCGCTTGTTGTTCCTCCCGCATGGTGTCTGTCTGTTTCGGAGTACCTTCGACCACGCTTTCGTCGAGTCGCTTGCATCGACTTAACGTGAGCGTCTCAAGGCCCCCCCCCCATCGGGATCAGATCAACGTCTGATCAGAGTCGCGTCTTCGGCCTGCGTGTGTACATTCGGCTGTCCGTCGCGAAGGAGCGAGTCAAAGGAATCGGCGCGCGGGACGAACGTTCCCGAGGTTCCCGACGACGTCATATCATGTGTGTGTAGCAGCAGCAGCTGCGTGACAGAACGTGGCTCACGCGCTGTTCGATCGCGGATGTCTCCGGCCAACGTTGGTCCCGCGGTGTTGCCGTGGGAAATGAATTTCCATCGCAATGATCGCGGCCTTCGTCACTTATCGCTTCGTTCTCATTCGATTCCCCGGTGTAATTATGAAATTGCACGGCAAGCTCGCCGTGATAGCCCGACCGCGATTAGTCGCGCACGTGGTTATCTTCTTTTCTCAAAAGGCGAGAAGGGCAGCTGAGGATCGCGCCGGATAATCTCTTTGTTTCACCGTTGTGATTTCGTGCCGCAGTCTGCGGCTTTGCGTTACATACAAGATAAACAATAAGGGGTGCGTGATGTAACAGCGCCTTGAAAGTGCACTCGTCTGCGTAAACGGCGGTGTTGCTCGTTTATTCGCAATGAAGCGCGCTTAGTCGCAGCGACAGCTTCGCGAAAGGTTTCTCCTCGGCCGACGTGGTCCGGATAAACATCGCGGAGAATCCGTCGACTTTGGCCGATTAAAGCGAATACGCGAGGTATTTTTATCATTATGCACACGCCACGCTTCCGGCGGTGGCTGCGAGGGAGTCGTCACGCAAGGTAAGTGCTCTCTTGATTCCTCTCTCGGCGCGGATTCAACCCTCGATTGGTCTCGCGAGACTCGAATTACGCTAATCGCGCCTAATACGCTTCGTCACGTGAAACGATCGCGCGTTCGCCGAGTATCTCGACTTAACCTCGTTCGATCGTTTACTTACGACGTGTGTGTGTGTGTGTCGTCGTCGGCAGGTCTCGATCGGTCTCTTTGGCGAGTCACTACGAAATTTTGCCGCGCTCTGGTTTTACGGCAGACTTGTAATTTTCCATTCCCCGTATCTTCGCACCTTATCTCAGATACGCTGTATCACTCTCGAGGGTTAATCTCGCGCGCGCGTTATCGCGTAGGGCGAGGAGAAAGTCGCAGGGATAGTCTCTTTGTTTCCGTCTTTTGTTTCTTCCTCGTCACACAGCGGGCTTTCTCCTCACCCTTCCGCGCTCTCTCGCCGTTCATTTCCCCGCCGAAGGTACTCCGGATAAACGCCGTCGAGCTTTTATACAAGCCGGGCCGGATTGGCTCCCGGATTATTATTACACGCGTCTCTTTCGTACCGCGCTTTCGTATTCCCGGAAACTACGAATTGTCTTTAAGCAGCGGTCTCTCTCCCTCGCGTTTCAACCCCCCCGTACAGCTGCTCCGAGGAGGGAGCGACGCGGAGAGGAGAAATAAAACGAGAGAGAAAGCGAGACAGAAGAAGGGAAACAATTTTGTTTCGTCGGTATTTCGCCTTTGGAGGACTCTCGTGGGGAGTGGCGAGGAGGAGGGGGAGGGGCATTAAACCCCCCGTGGACGGTGACAGTGCGTGCCCCCGCCGTCGTCGCCACAGACTCTCGCTATCAGAAGACAAATAAAACCACCACCACCACCACCCCCGCCCCTTCCGCGCCTCGCGAACGTTATCTCCCCTCTGGGGCATCCACGCGGTGGCGTTGCTCCAGATCGCTGGGGTAATGCACCCGTTGAAATTTCCCCGGGAAGCCGACTCCTCCCAGGGAGGAAGATCCGACGAGGAGGTCCATATAAAACTCCCCCGAAACTGTCCTCCTCCTCCCTCTCCCCCTCCCTGTACCGATGGTGGGCGCCGATGGCTCGCTGGAAACTGGTTGGCGGATTTCGTCGTGTTATCCTTCGGTCGTGTCCGCGGCGTTTACCTCCTCGATGCTCAACCTCCCCTTTCCAACCCTCTCCTTCCGTTCTCTCCCAGGGTCTTGTACTTTCGGTTTCCTCGGGAACGCGCGCGGCTTCCTCGTCCTCCGCCTCTGCTACCGGACTTGACGCTGGCCGACCACACCAAAGTGGTCGAAGTGACGGAGATTTGTAAGCTCTTGACGGAAATCACCGGGATCTATGCATTTTAGATTTTCAACGGACGTTGCGTGAGACCGACGCCCGCTTCCACCGATGTCGATTAAACTGATTGTCTGTCGGTTGTCCTGAGTTTGAATTCTGCCAAGACTGCAGAAGACTTCAACCCTACTTCCGATGTCAAGAGTTGCAGCGCAATTATTTTGAAATATAAAGAAATATAAATAGCGCACAGATCTCTCGGATACACGTGTCGCTGACCAGAGCTTGTTACTTGTAGACTACTGCCTTCTACTAGATTCAGCCCCTTCTCCCCCCCTTCTGCTCTGGAGAATCCTCTTCTGTTTCGGCGGAGGAGGCCTACAATTTTTCCGTTTCATTCGTCGGAAAGTGCACAAATAGCAGCGCTTTATGTAATTTGCCTATTAAACTGACCCCCAGATGGCGGAAGGGGAGGGGGGGGAGGCAGCTGCTTTCACGACGGCGACAACAAGCGCGCGCTTCTCGTCCCCGAGGCGCGGCGCTTGCGCGAGCTCTTGTCTCGCATTGCGTCGCGTCGCGGACGCTGCTCTCCGCTGCTCTCCGTCTCTCGTCGATACTCGCGTGCGCGCCTCCGCCGCGTCGTGGCCGTCGTCGAGCCCGTAGCTAGAGCTAGCCAGCTAGTCGAACGAAAGCGAGAGCGGCTTCGAGAAGCGAAAGTGTTCCGCCGCGCAGGCTCGGAAGTCGGTGGAAGCCGACGCGTGCAACCCCCGCGCGCGACGTCCTCCGGGAGGGTGGTTGGTGCTGTCGTAAGTACGACCTGGAGGGACTCGGCGGGCGAGGTGAGCGAAGGGCGCGATCTTGGTCGTCGAGTTGTCGATTCCTCTTGATTTCGCGACCGATGCGCGATTCGACGATATCTTCGCCGGCGCTCTTTGCTGGAATTTCCTCGCCCCTTCCGATGGGGGAGGGGAGGGGAGGGGGGCTACAACAAGTCGGAAGTCGACTGGAGCTGCTCCGAGCGGCGTCGGCACGAGGATGCGATCTGACGCGTTGACGCGCCTGTTATGACTCTCGGCGGGCGGCCGCGAAATGAGATATCTTCCGTTCGTGGCATCGGGGACCGGCTTCATCGCGAGGAGCTCGCTGGAGATCGCCTTTGAAAGGCAGTACGCGTGAAACCGCGACTTCCCGTTCGACGGCCAGACGGAAGGACGGAGTGAGGCCGCGTCGCGTTGCGCCGTGTCATATCGCGTTGCTCAATTTGCTCGAGTTTTACGCTGATTATACAATCAGTGCGTCTCCTGTTACACCGATGTTAGCCAGCTTGATTACATCGTGAAGAAGTAATTACGTCGTGAGAAAGGAGCGAGAGGGCATCTCGCGTTTCCGTCGCAGCCACAGGGGGGAGGGAAGGAAGAGCCTTCGCTTTCGACTGGCCTCGGTCGTTACTGGTCGCTCGTGCCGATCTTCCAAGTGTCGAGATCGCGATGGATGTTCGGGGTAGATCATCTTGTAACGAAATTGTAACGAAATCGAGTCGTTGCTTCTTCTTGGTTGGTTCTTCCTCGCGAAGAATACTCTTGTGTGAGGCAAAGGGTGTAGGCCGATAAGGCCGCAGCACGGAGTCGCCTCGTGCTCCTCGATGTCGGCTCGGTGTTTTTCTTCGCGATAGGCTATCGATGATGCGCGATAAGAAATTATTTCGATTTGTGTGTACCGAGCATAGATAAAAAAAAGTTATTCGGGTCTCTGGAGGTAGGGATACGTGCACGGTATTTCTTTTTTTTTTTTTTTCTTTACTTTTATCTCACGCGCGCGCTAGAAGAGCGGGTGAAAATTTCGATCGTGAGACTCGAAACACCCGTTTATCAGCTCGCTCCTACGCGGCGCTGCGTGTTTCATCGCTCGCTATATCGCCGTCGGAATAACGAAGCGACAGCTTTTTCAGCGATAATTCATATCCTCGGTGAATCGTGATCCTCTTTAGAAGCGCTCTTGCGGACGAAGAAGGGTGGGAGAGAGGATTTGCATTCAGATCACACAGAGTGGACGTCACGAGTGTAGCGACCACATGCTACTCTTTCTCTCTCTCTCTCTCTCTCTCTCTCTCTCTCAAAATAATTCACGTCCTTAACGTCGACGTCGCCGTCGTGGCTGCAACACGCTTTTGATCTCGACCTGGTTACGCGAATGACCTCGCGAGTCGATCGCGTCCCGTTTTGCCGCTCGCGCTATCGACAGCTAACAGCTTCATCTCATTGCGTTTCGCGCTAATCGTCCAACTGACGTTCACAATACACCACCCATGTAACGCGAAATGTATCAGTTAACATTGGAAAGAAGTACTCTAATAATAAGGCAGACTAGGGCGAGTTAACAGAAATTTCGAGATTTTGCGAAAGCTCGGCTTCAGAGCTGTCGTTGAATCAAACTTTCTTCCCACTTTAGTAGTATTTAATATTAATTCCTGGTATTAATTTATATTTTTTTCGGTATTGACTTCTAATGTCAATATTTTTCTAATTCTTGCAATGTCTCTCCCCGAACTTTGGTGAAACTCGGGCAAAAGTCCCCCGGTGTGCCTCGAAAGGAGGGACACTTTTCTGGCGACTTCTCGTCCACCATTTCTCTCGACACACATAAACAGAAAACGCATGGCCGATAACGGTCCCTTTGCGCCAATTCGAGCCGGCCTCTGCTGTGCTATCGATTCTCTGCTTAATAATATCTATGAGTGATACAATTTGTCGAGTGTGTTGTGTCTATGCGTGTCCTTAGGTCCTTAGACACGTCGCGTTTGTTCAGCGACGAA